CAAAGCCGTGTTGACTCCGAAGGTGAACAATCCCGTCTACAGGGGATGCCCCTAACAATAAAGCAAGGTTTCCGGGTAAGAGGTAACGCTTCACGCAACCTTGCGGAGAAATATTCGGTGTTAATTACCTCCAAAGGTGAACGATCCCGTCTACAGGGGATGCCCCTAACAATAAAGCAAGAGTTGTTTCTGGGTAAGAGGTAACGCTTCACGCTACCTACGGATAAATATTCGGTGTTACCTCCGAAGGTGAACAATCCCGTCTACAGGGGATGCCCCTAAAAATAAAGCAAGAGTTGTTTCTGGGTGAGAGGTAACGCTTCACGCGACGTTGCGGAGAAATATTCGGTGTTACCTCCGAAAGGTGAACGATGCCGCCTACAGGGGATGCCCATGACAATAAGCAAGAGTTGTTTCTGGGTAAGAGGGTAACCCTTCACGCAACCTTGCGGATAAGTATTCGGTGTTACCTTCGAAGGTGAACAATCCCGTCTACAGGGGATGCCCCTAACAATAAAGCAAGAGTTGTTTCTAGGCAAGAAGAAACGCTTCACGCAACCTTGCGGATAAGCATTCGGTGTTACCTCCGAAGATGAACGATCCCTCTACAGGGAAGCCCATAACAAAAAAGCCAGAGTTGTTTCTGGGTGAGAGGTAACGCTTCACGCAACCTTGCGGACAAATATTTGGTGTTACCTCCGAAGGTGAACGATCCCGTCTACAGGGGATGCCCCTTAACAATAAAGCAAGGTTTCTGGGTAAGAGGTAGCGCTTCATGCAACCTTGCGGAGAAATATTCGGTGTTACCTCCAAAGGTGAACGATCCCGTCTACAGGGGATGCCCCTAACAATAGATCAAGAGTTGTTCCTGGGTGAGAAAAAACGCTTCACGCAACCTTGCGGAGAAATAATCGGTGTTACCTCCAAAGGTGAACGATGCCGCCTACAGGGGATGCCCATGACAATAAGCAAGTTGTTTCTGGGTAAGAGGGTAACCCTTCACGCAACCTTGCGGATAAGTATTCGGTGTTACCTCCGAAGGTGAACAATCCCGTCTACAGGGGATGCCCCTAACAATAAAGCAAGGTTTCTGGGGATAAATATTCGTATTACTTACCTCCAAAGGCCGTCTACAGGGGATGCCCCTAACAAAAAAGCAAGAGTTGTTTCTGGGTAAGAGGTAACGCTTGACGCTACCTGCGGAACAATATTTGGTGTTAACTCCGAAGGTGAACAATCCCGTCTGCAGGGGATGCCCCTAACAATAAAGCGAGGTTTCTGGGTAACTGGTAACGCCGCTTCACGCAACCTTGGGGATACATATTCGGTGTTACCTCCGAAAGTGAACGATCCCGTCTACAGGGGATGCCCCTAACAATAAAGCAACTCAACCTTGCGGAGAAGTATTCGGTGTTACCTCCAAAGGTGAACGATCCCGTCTACAGGGGATGCCCCTAACAAAAAAGCAAGGCTTGTGGGTAAGAGGTAACGCTTCACGCAACCTTGCGGATAAATATTCGGTGTTAATTACCTCCAAACGTGAACGATCCCGTCTACAGGGGATGCCCCTAACAATAAAGCAAGAGTTGTTTCTGGGTAAGAGGTAACGCTTCACGCTACCTTGCGGATAAATATTCGGTGTTACCTCCGAAGGTGAACGATCCCGTCTACAGGGCACGCCCGGAACAATAAAGCAAGGTTTCTGGGTAAGAGGTAACGCTTCACGCAACCTTGCGGAGAAATATTCGGTGTTACCTCCGAAAGCGAACGATGCCGTCTACAGGGAATGCCCCTAACAATAAAGCAAGTTTTATGGGTAAGAGGTAACGCTTCACGCAACCTTGCGGAGAAATATTCGGTGTTACCTCCGAAAGCGAACGATCCCGTCTACAGGGAATGCCCCTAACAATAAAGCAAGTTTTATGGGTAAGAGGTAACTTTTTACGCAACCTTGCGGATAAATATTCGGTCTTACCTCCAAAGGTAAACGAACCGGTCTACAGGGGATGCCCCTAACAATAAAGCAAGAGTTGTTTCTAGGTAAGAGGTAACGCTTCACGCAACCTTGCGGAAAAATATTCGGTGTTAATTACCCCAAAGGTGAACGATCCCGTCTACAGGGGATGCCCCTAACAATAAAGCAAGAGTCGCTTCTGAGTAAGAGGTAACGCTTCACGCTGCCTGCGGATAAATATTCGGTGTTACCTCCGAAGGTGAACAATCCTGTCTACAGGGGATGCCCCTTAACAATAAAGCGAGGTTTCTGGGTAAGCGGTCACGCTTTACGGAACCTTGCGGATACATATTCGGTGTTACCTCCAAAGTTGCACGATCCCGTCTAAGGGGATGCTTCCAACAATAAGGCAAGAGTTGTTCCTGATTCCTGGGTTGCTGCCTTTCTGCTCAACAGGCTGATGCTCCCATTTCTCCCGCAGAATGGCAGCAATGGGTTGGAATTGACTTGGCCTCGTTCTGCGCCTTGCAAACCACTTGGACGCTAACTGCCCCGTCCTGGCAGCCCCCACACTAGAAAGCAAGTGCGTGACTGTGTTGTGCCTGCATGGTTGGTGCATGCTCAGCACTACCTGAAAAGCATATTGAAACTTGGACGCCATTCGAACCCACACACACACACACTTGCACCCGGAAACACCTTGCAATTGGCAGTGGGTCACCATAGTTTGTCATCTGAAACCGTCAAAAGGGACTTTGCTGCGATACGACTGTGCCGTGCGAATTTGTGATCTGAACCGAAATACTGATAAACTCTTGCCACTGAGCATGTTGTCATTTTCGCTTTTGGTCCCAGAAGCCTTCAGGGAGCTTCGTCCCAGCTTTCCAACTCCCCCTGCAAAAACTGAGTCGCTTGTGGAAAATGACTGCGTCACCCCGTCTCGCGAGCCCCCGGTCGCCTCGCCGGCGCGGAGCTTCAAAGGTGGCTCCTGGCACAGGAAAAAGCCTTCTCCCAGAAACCGAAGGCGCCCGAGCGGAGGTAAGAACTAAAGGGAACAAAACGAGAGAAGCCCAAGAGTCTCGTGTGCCGCGCCTGGGCAGGGCCCTTTGCTCCAAGGAGAGCCCGACGTATCGGAACAGTTCCCCCTTCAGCCCCGGGAAAAAGTAACTACATGTCCAATAGTGATAGGTCCCCTTTAGACCAACAGGGGAAAATAAAACATATTCTTAAGAAAATGGTTCCCCTACAAATCAAGCATAGGGCTCATGGCGACGGTGTCATTCAAGCAAAAACAAAACACACAGAAATCCTCGCTTCGAGGCGGGGTGCGCAAAGAAATAGTCGGGGGACTGGACTAAGGGACACCAAATGGGTGTCATTTTTAAGCCCTTCCCCCCCAACACACTAAAGTTCTGGTTTGAAAAACAGCACAAAAAAAGTGTGGGGCATACCGTAAAAGAACGCTACACCAAAATTGGCCCAACGCCTTTTGGAGGAAACAAGTACCAGAGCTCTGGTCCATTAATTAACATGGAACCCAGGATATCACTTTGAAAGCAGTTTCGTCTTCCACCCTGAAACTCCAGACTTCATGTTAGTATGTTAGTGGATGGCGCTTTGTTCATTGATTCATTCTCAACCCTAGGATAAAAGAGAGCTAACCCCGCGTCACTTTGGAGCGGGCTACTAGCCCCCTGTACATGACACAGCCAAGGGAGCTAACCCCTGTTTTTGTTTGCGCCCAACGCCGTATGGGCCCGTTGGCCAACGGTCAAAGTAGCCAAGGGAGCTAACTCCAGTTTCTGACAAACTGACCTCCCCAGAAAATGTCAAAGTGATCGACCCCTCTGCATGGCCCTCAATCCCGCGCTCTCGGCGATCACCTTTTTAGCCCGAGGCCAGGCACACCACGCCGGCGATGCTGCCAGTTGCCCTCAGCACATCGATGCAACTCAGGGCAAAAGTTGGGCGCCGACATGGGCGTGTCAAGTTAAAGCTACCCTCTGCAAAAATCAGGGCTTCAAATCCCCAAACCACCCATCCAAGCAACCAATTTAGGCACATGAAACAACAAGACTGGGCAATAGTCGAAAGCATGTCTAATCCATGTCTAACCCTCTAACCCACGGCCGGTCATTAATTATGTGCGCGGTCTTCATGTGAGGTCGCTTTTGCCTCCTCTTTCAGTAACTTGGGAGCCAATGGCACCATAGGTGCCCTTTTGGAAGAATCCATGGCCCTGGTGAATGGAATAAAACCCATCCAAACCAGTGCATCTATTTCTAACCAAACTAACTCAAAAATCTAGCTCCACCAAGCCCATTCTCTTCAGGGATCCTTCTCTTCCAAAAACGGGCCAAACACCTGGAAAATAGGTGGTGTCTGAAAACAACGATGGGTGAAGAGAATGGGGAATCAAACCTTAGAAAAAAGGACGGCACTGGAATCTCCTTGAGCCCCACGGCCGCAAGCAGCAGTTAATCAGCACTTCTCTGGCCAAGCAGCAGGCAGTTGCCGCCACCGGAGCCGGAATGAGCCACCTGGCCAAGTGGGAGGCAAGCAACCTGACCTGACAAAACAAGCTAAGTTGAGCAACATGATGAAGACACCTACCAACAACAAGTTCCGGTTGGTTCACTCAGGCTTGAACGTCAAGACAGGGGTCTGGGTGGGCCGGTGGGCCTGACAAACAACTGCACAAGGTGCCGGGAATGCAATGTGAACACTTGCCCACAGACGGTAAACGAGTGAGCTTCAATCCAAACAACTTGGGCAGGAAGATGCAAAGTTGATTCCTGCGTAGGGGACATGTGTGACACAGAAACAAATCCAAACTTCTCATGTTGATCGCGCGATAGCCAACATCGCGGATTCATAGGGGTGTCTCCCCCAAAGTGAGGGAAACACATTGTGTGTTCGAAATGCGATGCCCCCTTTTAGTTAACCAGGCTGAATCCTGGACCAACTTCACCCCAGGAGCCCCCATTAAAAGAAAGGTTGACCCAGTTTGGATGATAACAATAGGTATACAAAAAATAATGTTGGTCATATGAGCCCCCATTGATTTCATGGTGGTTTGAATCCCAGGGTTTATTCTGTCGTGTGCCCTGTTATCGCTTCTCAACTAACTTCCGCCAGAGCGCGCAGGTGAGCGGCATGCCAGTCCCCTCGCGCTTCCGACTTGGCCCGATTTCCAGGAAGCAGCGCGCATGCTTCTCCCAAACGCGGAAGTGGGACACGATGTTGTGCTGGTACTGCGTATACCTCGGGCGGAAACATTCGCGTCACTCGAAGCTCTCGCCTGAAGTTTCAGCCGCGACCCATCCGGGTTGGTTGGCCCAACTTCAACTGGCACCGAAGGCCACCGACGCCTTTTTCTGAGGTCGTGGCCCATTGGGGTAGGATTTTCACTCGCTTTCCCCCCCAGCCAGGGAAGAAGGGGAAGTATACCCTTCACACCAGAATTGCATAGACCACTCTGAACACTCTTCTCTCTGACGGTAGCATGTCGTGGTATTGGAGGTGACCCTTACTCCGAGCAACCATGAGCGTTCAGGCAGCACCTACACTAGCGCAGGGCGTCACAAGGTTACACTTTGAGCACCCGCGAACAGCATTTCGGGGTCCTTCCCTCCCCCCTTGCCTCACAAAACAAAAAGGGGACATGGCGCGTTTGCCTCAAAATACGGAGTTGCCCCCAAAAAAGAAAAACGGATCGTGTATCTGGTTAGGTGTCTGACTGCTTTGGGCATAGGAGCTGATGGGTGACATCTGTGGTTTAGCTTTGGTGCCATCTTCTTGCCGCGTGGCACGCGAGCCAGGTATTCCTGTCGCTCACCCTCCTCTTTCACAGAGAGTGGGACGGCATCGGGGAAGGGGGCATCATTCACATCCACGCCGCCCACAATCCACGACTGCACGTTCGAGTCGGCTGCCCTGCCAAGGCGGACCCACGCTTATTAAAGGGGCGGACCCACGCCCCCCAAAAAAGGTAAACAAAAACAAAAACACTTGTTGTATCTGACAAGGACTGGGTCATACAGTGCCTGCAAACTCACCGGCCATCCACGGCCCCTGACAAACACCTCTACAAACGCACTCTTTGCCTCAGAAATCCCGCTTAGCATTTTCTTCCGTTTGCTTAAGCCCTCTGGAAAAAACAAATATGTCCTGTAGTGATCGATTCCTTTCAAAACCAACAGGGGGAAATAAGAAAAACGATTCAACAAATGAAGTTTTGCGGGAAGTGAGTATCAATGTGACGGGCTTTTGGCGCCGGCGCGCGGCTCAGGCTTGGTGTCCAGCTTTGGCTGGGCGTCCCAGCTTCCCAGCTTCCCAGTGACCCTGGCAATCCCTTTCCCCTAAGAATAAACGCGGACCCCCCCCCAAAAAAAAAAAACACGCTCTGGGGGACAAAGCATAATTGTTAATAGGGTCCTGTGGGGCAACGGGTTTCCTCTTCGGTCCTCGTCCAAGTGGGCACCCCCCCTTTCCGGACACGAAAAACCTCAAAATCGCAACTTTGCGAGCAACGAATGTAAGTAAAACCGTTCAAGGTGCTTTTATCGTTTTTGCGGGTCAAAAGTAAAGGGCCAATTGAAAATAGAATTCCCATGCAAGAAAGACAGGTACACTAGTAACAGGTAAGTATGCATTTAGAATTTGGAATTGGGCTGGTGCAAGGAGCGCAATAACAAGGCAGGGGCTGGTCTGGGGAACCCTGTCAAAGAAAAACGCCATGCGGGTGCCATTGTGCGAACAATTGACGTGGTTTTCCCCAAATATATATATATATAGCTGAAAGCAATATTTGCACTGGACATATATCCATGGACGATCACCAGGTTCATCAACAAACCGGGCTTACTGAACTAATGGCCTACTTAATGCAATAGCACGCTGATTTAAAAAATGAAGACGTGTTTTCCACTAGCCCCTTATTCACCCCATCGGGTTGCGGATTTGGATGCCTCCCAGCTCGCGTATGCGCGCCTGCCAGCCCGGGTCCGAGCGAAGAAGGGCTGGGGCTTGAGGTTCACGACGCCATCGTTCCACACGCTCACGAAGCCCTCAGAGTGGATGCCAACATCCAGACACCTGGCAGGTAGCTCCCAGCTTCCGCCGAAAAATGTGCTCGGATTTTAAGTTGAACAAATCTAGGCGGTACCCGAAACCTTAGGCACCGGGTTTAGGAATGTTCACAAATGCCACTCGAAAATACCGGATAAACCCCATAACATCCTATACCCTAAACCTTTGGAGGAACACCACGACGAGAAGTGTCACTTCTGGTGCCGGCTGGGTGGACACAGAAACCCCGGCAGCCCCATAGTCCGCACGAGCCCGCGCAACTCTCCAGCTCATACGTCTCAAGTTTGCAGCAGCCTGGTGGTTTTTTAATGTTGACCCAGGCGACCCAGGATTAATAAACTCTTCCCGTTCATAGAGGGGTGTTCCCTGCCTAGGTCCTCCCGATCTGTTTTCTGTAGTTTATCTTAGTAGGGGAACCTCCCCCAAAAAAGAAACGGTAAAAGTTGGCACCTAGCTGGGGGACCTAGCTGCAAAAGTGAGGACTCCCCACTGAAAGGGGGCACTATGAATCCCTTGGTGCCCTGCCCAGGGCTCAGAACCGTCACACATCTGGTGTGCGGAAAGTACCATGACACCATGCGTTAGGGTTCAGCCCTCACGAAAAGAAAGGACGACCCAATTTGGATGAAAATCCTCAGGTAAACCATGGTGGTTCTATGAACATCCATTGTTTTCATGGTGGTTAAGCCCTGGGCGAGTTTCTCATGAGCGGTGGGCCTTTTATATCACTAGGGGATCAACTCATGTCGCCCGATTCCCTTGACGAACTTAGTCCTCCGGATTCATCCGAGGTCAATTCACACGACCCCGCACCAGACGGGCTCACAAACGGACGCTTCCAACCCCCCAGCCTGTGCAGACCCTTCGTCCTGTCGCACCGGAACTGGGCCATGCGCGCGTCCCGGAGATCCAACAAATAGGCCTCCGGCGGGATCAGCAGCGTCATGGTATCCTGAGGCCGCAGGGCCGCGGGTTTCAGCCGGTGAAACAGCAGGTCCGGTTTCAGCGGCGGCTTCAACAAGTCAGCACACTGAAATGGGGCTGTCCTCGCTTCGCCTGACCTCCAGTTGCAATTCTGGGCCATGACCCCAAGCCGAATTCCCACTGCTCGTGTGCGTTCCATGACTTGCTCCGATTTGCAGCTTTGGACGCTGTGCCGGCCGGGCTGCCGTGACAGGTCTGTGCCATCAGGTGCTTGACTAAGAGCCTGTCTGGACCCGTGTACTGCATATGTTTGATTCCGCATTTTGCTGGAAAGCAACCTTAACAATGTTCAGTCCAAGGCCAAATGCCCGAAACAAACAACCCATATTGGGTGTGAGGCGAGAAAATGCAAAAGCCGCAGCAACTCGAACAAGTTCACAACGCCAAGACAGGCTCGCAGGGAGAGACACATTTGCAGGCCCAAACATGGTGTCCTGAAAGAACGCATTCAAATCAAAAAGCCCAAAGAGGAGTTCCCTGACATCAGCATTTTCAACATGGCAACACGTCTTTTGCAAGGAACTGTAGCGATTGGCTCAACAAACGTGTCGACATCGGATTTCCCGTCGCCAGGTCCGCCAAGTCTCCGCCCACGTCAGGTTCAGCATGGGGCCCCGAGAGCCAGGGATGAAACAGCGCAAGGGCGCTGCTGGCACGTTCAAGTCCCAAAGGATCCTCCGCCGGCCGCAGGCCCCAAACAGATCCAAACAGGAAATCTATCCGAAGGTGACGCTGAACCAATAGACTGCCAAATGGGAATGGTCTGACACGAGGTACATGGGCCAATGCTCCCACCGCAAGCCAGCCACAAAGGACTGGAAACTATGAGGGCAAAAGGATGTTTCTTACATATGTCTTGTGTCATCTAAGGCAAGGACCGTTGAAATAACCACAAAACTGCAATGGCTGATCAGCGGGCCACTCCCCTCATGGGTTAAACCCGGCCGTCTGGGCTCAGCACAATGCGTTGCCACATGTTGCCACTCATTGATCGGGTCAAGAGTCATCGTCAACTGATGCCCTCATTGCGACAGGTGCCCTTTGCCTAGTCACTTTGCCCTGGTCACCGCATGGCGCACAGAGAAGTACCAAGGTAATACAAGGGGCTAGCTATATTATATTGTCTCATGGTCCAGACTTAATTCGGCCCCCCATTCTAGTTGTTTAGGCGGTGGGATTGATTACGGCTCCCAAAACGTACCCTTGCGAGCCATGGGCCAAGGGGCACGTAACCGCTGGAGAGTCCGGCGGCGAGGATCTCACCTCGACGCCACCAACCCCCCCCCCCCGCGTGGCGCCTTCCAGCGGTCGAATTGCCCCATCCCAAAGGCCACCTTTTGGCATTTGAGAAGAGAAAGCGCGGACTCGGAAGCGCGGACTGGCAATAACATTCTGATTTTGTTTCACTCAGAAGCCAGGGACAGTTGGGCCGAAACAAAGGTGGTGTCACGAAACCTCCCACGGACCCCGCGTCTCTTGAGGCAAGATTCTTACCGCGTACATCCAAGCTGCAAATAATGAGAATCCGTGATCAATGATCCGACCCAGTCTAGAATCAACCCACGCAACGCTTAGTAACCTGGGTCGGCACCTAAGAGCATGGATGGACGTCAAATGGATAAACAGCAACCCCAAGAACGAGTATATCTCAGATGCCCAGTGGCCAGGGGAAAAAAGGGCATCTGTTTTTTGGTTGGTTGAGTTTAAAGGGCACCCTTCCCAGAAAAAAGTCGAAAAAAGGGCACCACTGAACAACTGGGAGATGGAAAAGCAACCAGCGGGTGTGTTGCGGTTGCTTCCGCACAACATCCGGGGCCGTGTCCAACGGGATTCGGGGCCCGAATGTCGAGATTCGGGGCCCGCATTTCGAAAAAGATTCGGGGGTCCAAAGGTGCAAAGACAGTTCACAGATGCGAGGACTTGCATGTCAAAGAGAATCAGGATCAGCTTTTGCATATTTTGGGAATTGTCCTTCAAAATGATAGGTCAATGAAAGGAGCGCGTAGATATCAAAGTGCGAATGAGCGCAAATATCTGCAAATGAGCAGAAATAATAATTAAATTGTTTAAAAAAAGAAAGAAAAAACATAGCCGAACAAAGTGAGAAAAAAGAAAAAGAACAAAAACTAACAGTGTTTTCAAAACGGTGCGTTGTTTGAAGCATCGAGCAGGAAGTAATGGCTCGAACACAAATTCTCAGCAACACAAATCTGTGTCAGAATGGGACCTCCAGCATGACTGAAGACCCGAAAGCTACCGATGCTTGGGACCAACCCCCCCCCCTCCCAGCGGCTCAACAGGATTTCAGCCTCACCCAGCCCACCCCGCAGCACTTTGTTTGCATAAAGTCGACCGACTTCACGTCGGAATATGCTGAATGTGTGAACCCACTAACCCCTGATATGAGATCGTAGTTTGTTGCCCCGCTAACCTGCAAATGTAATTGCAAATCATGGGGTCTAAAACGGCCGAATTGCAGATGGGATGTATACAAGCAGCCTTTGACCAATTGCCTGACGCCACACACACATTCTGCTTGAATCAAAAAAAGTCAAGTCGAAAGGTTCTGGGCTCCCCAGCACGGTATTTTTCTTATGCCATCAGACGTGGCAGATTTGCCAAGTGGCCTGGCCCCGGGCAGAAGGCAAGGCAGGTGACCATGTCCATCTCCTGTAGGCAAGGCCTCAGCACCTCCGAGGGCGATGTCTGGATCTGACCTCAGAAGGAACTCGCGAGAAGTGGCGCTGATGTCAGATATCTCCATATGTATATATATATATATATATATGTATATAAACTAGGGGCATCTGTGAATATATTGAAAATGTATATATATATATATGTATCTCATAATGCATTGGGTTGTTCGGGATTCATTAGTTATTGATGCGGTTCGTTTCGTGCAATGTCACTTCATTTCATCATCTTGCATTTCAATTGCGGCTGGCGGATGTGCGGAAGCAACGGAGATGCCGACTCCGGCTGCCTGGGCTTGGGGAGCCCGACAGCTCTGGTCAAGGCGGGTAAAGCTCACCTGGGATTCTCTTAAACTTCCATTTGCTTAAGCCCCCGGGGAAAAAATATAAATATGTCCAGTACGGATAGATTCCCTTGAAAACCAACAAGGGAAAATAAACACATTCCTAAGCAACATGGAAGTAAAGAAGTCCTCGGATCTGGGAAACGCAGAGGCAATCAACCCAAAAACGGCTCGAGAACCAGCCACTCTTTGAGAGGGCAGCCAGAAAGGCTGGAGCCCTGTGATGCGCAGCGTTGATGAACGCAAGTCGGCAGGAAAGCGGTTGAAGACCGAACACACGCATCCAACGCATATATATATATATAGTTGTGTACATGTATGTGTTACCCATAAGTTGTCCACTGCAACTCCAGCCCCGGAAACTAGTGGCTTTCTTGTCTGGTTGGTGGTTTGCCTTAAAGCCAACCTGAAAAGGGTACCCGTGGTAATGGCCACAATGAGGACTCCGGAATAATAAAATAAACCTCTGGATGATGTTCGGGGTGTGATCCCCTACTTGGGGGTTCATCATTTGAGGGGGTACCCCATTAATATTAATGGGATGGTGTGTTTCTAGGATCCGGGGTCAATCAGCTTCTACTTGGCCGTTCTTTCAGGACCTGGCTTGAAATTCCCCACTCCAAACCACAGGGATACCTGAGTTACCCTGAAACCCACAGACCCCAAAATGGCCCCCCCTGCGGGCCCCGGCCTTTGGGAGCCATGCGCCACAACAGCACCACGCACCTCTCGGTGCCCGCGGCCAGCACGCAGCCTTGCAGCTTCAACAGAACCGCAGCCAATTTGATGCACTCACTTGCCATGTTGGGAATGAACCTAGAGATCCCCTTCAAGGAAGAATAGAAAAATTGGTGCGTAGGGGTCATTCCCTCAGTCCATGAGAACCAGCAAGATACAAAGGTCAAGCTTTGAGATCTCTACTGGAAGGGTACCAAAAAGAGATGGCCAACAGGTTTTTTTAAGTCGGGCTTGGGCAACTGAGTGCAGAGAACCACCATTTTGTTGTTGAACCCTTACTTCCAACAGGGGTTATATTGAAACAGTTCGTCGGTTTGTGTGTTTTATCGTTTGAGAAGACCAACCCCGCTCTTGGCTTTTTCTCAGCGTGGAAAGAGCAATCGTGGGAAGACCAGTGGGCCTCAAGACTCACGACGAGTCCCACAAGCCACATGGCCCAACCCACTGTCCATTTGCACGATGGCTATTTGAAGTAACCTTACCGGGAGCTTTCCTTTGCCCCCTGGGCCCAAAAGGGGGACATAGAAGGACACCTGGACAGGGTTCCTTGCGCTTGAATGACCAGCCATCGACCCCGGGGAAATGAAGGAACCCGAAAGGGCAAGAGACGAAAGGTGAGTCAAGTCTACCGCTCCCTCAAAAGGAGCGCCCAAACATGAGCATCCAATTGTCTAACGGTTGATTCCCGATTCTTTTCAACCATCGTCCTTTTCAAAAACCGATCGCTGTTTCCCTGGGGGTTTTCCAGAAAGAAGAAGGATCCCCTGAAAGAATGGAAATATATGGAAATGGAAGGTAGCACTACCTAGAGTCTCCATGGCCCTTAAAAAATGGGTCAATGATCCCTTAATTTTGGATAACATGTTTTTAAGGGTCATGGAGACTCCAAGTAGGAATGCATTTTTTCGAGAGAGTTGGGCCCTCGGCTTTCCCTCAACTTTGCCCGCCTTTGGGGTCCTTCGAGCTTGCCCGCGCCGCCGCGCACTGCAGGTGCCGCTGCTGCCAGATGGCCGCCGGCTGCGCCTTAGGCCAGAGGTTCCTGGGGCCCAGGGTGAAGTTTCCCAGCCACGTTTGGTTCTCTGGAATTCGGACCCCAGCAAAAGAAGATCTGTTTTGCCTGCTCAGTGGAAAACAAAGGGGACAAGCAAAAAGGAAAAAGGGGAACTAATTCTGGGGAAGAGTTGTAGGCCGTGTTTGAATCTGTTTGAAGAAGGTGAGATGAGATGACCTTTAAGTATTCCCTGGATGGGGAACCCTGGCTTTGGACGGGGTTGAAGTGACACCCTCTTGGATACAACCCATCCTTGGGATAAAACACGTTGTTACTTTCACCTCCTTTCATGCCCGTGGTTTAAGGGGCGGTCGGCAGCAACCAGCCCGCAAAGGTTGGTTCTACTGTTACGGTTCCACTGCGACGTGTCACCAGGTAAAGGTTATGGGGGCCTGGTCTATAATCCTTGTTGCACCAGGTCAAACCACCAAATTCTGCGGACCCCTCCAAGTTCACATTCAGTCACATGTGTGTAGGGACATGCTGGCTTAAAGGGCGGCAACTCCTCGAATGGAAATGTGAATTCTAGGGCCACAATTCCGCTCCCCAAACTTCCCCGGGGCGGGGGGGGGGCGGGGGCGAGGTCTCCAAGAAAGCAGGCTCATATTCCAGCAGCTGCTTGCAGTTTAGTTGCTCCCTGCGGGGCCTTTTGGGCCACCCAGGCAGGCACGAAGCGAGCAAAGAGCTGCACGCGGCTGAGGGCACGTGGCTGAAAGGCCGCCAAGGGCAAGCTGTAGATACCTGTCCAACTCGTGGCACGCCCGCAACCGACAAAAAACGGCAACACATATTTGCATTTCTTTGCCGGCCACCAAAAATCATCAAAACAACAAACACGAAGAACCAAATGAAAACATGCCAAGAACAGTGTAGACACGGAGGTCCCCATTGCTCAGCATCGCCAGGAGCAAGCCAAGCCTCTCCTTACCCGGACCCCAACTGTCGCACTGGGTGCCTGCCTCTGGACCGTGGACTGTGTTTTTCTAACGGTTGATTCCTTTTCCATTCTTTTCAACCATCGTTCTTTTCAAACACCAGCTGCTTCTTCAGGGTTGTGGGTGGTTTTCTAGAAAGAAGGATGCCTGGAAAAAATGGAAATGAAAATGGAAGGTACCCCCAGAGTTTTAGGTGGCCTCGGCCATGGCTTGCTGCCGGTAAACTCCGATGGCCAAATTCAGGAAATGGTACGGGGAATGTCGGATTAAATTCATCGAGACATGGCTGTGGGTCAAAACCAATGGTACCATTTTGAAGTATGTGCACCACCCATTTTAGTCTTTTTTAGTGGGGATTGGGATGTTCACTGGGGGTACGATTTGGATTTTGATCCATGGCCACATTGTTGCTCCTCACACGCAGTGCCTGTGGGTGGGTCCCAGGCTTGCGCTTGTTTTGACTGCAGCCATGCGGCCTTGGTGTTTTTGGAGGGCAGCCACTGCAAGCTTCTTGCCTTAGACGGGCCGGGAATTCGCCATGGAGCTCTGTTTCAGCCAACGGTTCCTGAATTCGAGGTGCCCATCTGGGCAGGTTTCAAACAGGCCACGACTTGTTGAGAGGCCCCAAAGCAAAACATCCCCCCAAAATGAGCATCTCAAGTTTCAGGAACGCCTTTTGGTTGGGTCCCAAAGGCTGAAGGGTGGGGGAAATACAAGAATCCAATGCAACCTGTTGGTGGCAGCTGACACGATTTTCCCACTCAGCTGATCAGGATCGCCCAACCGCAAACCGCCAGTGGCCACAACAACACGCACTTAGTTGGTTGGTAGCTGTTCAAAATTCAAGGAAAACCCTCCAAACAACATTTGAAAACGGGGCCCACAGGCCACTGAGTCAATACCTTCCCTTCATCTGCCAGGTTTTTCCAGTGAAGCGGCACCAGCACCTTCGTGCACAATGCCCATCCTCAAATGCGCGGCCTGAGCTGCGAAGGGAAAGTTCGCGACTTCGCCAGATGCTGGCGTTTATACGGGGAAGCACCTGCTCTTCCAGGCACAAACGGCCTGGGGGTCCCCACATACAGTTGGGCAAACACCAGCCATTGTGCCGTGGCGGAACCAACGTCTGATCTGTTTTTGTCTCAAGGGTGGCCTTTGCAAAGAGTGCCCGTTCTATCGAAGAAATGGCGCTATTGGCCAAGGGCACCTTGGGTCAAGCCCGGAAACTTGAGACCCATCATTCGTTTCTTCAGCTGCCACAATGCACAAATTGGACAAAGCCAAGACGCTTCCCAAATGCCCCCAGCACTTCTGGAAAAAGGCGAACCCTTTTACGGTTGACCATTTTTAGTGCCAGCAAACAAGTGGAAAGGGGGTCCACTGAACATTGGGTGTGCGTGTGTGTGAAACTTTCGTGTTCCTCTTGAGGTTTAGCCTGTATATAAGGTTCTGTGGGGGCGTGATTGTTCCAACTTAGGGGGCGCCTCTACTAGGAGCGTGGCTTGGCCATCCTTTCCATCCGACTGCCCTCCTTGTCCGGAGCTCAACCCAGCGTGTTACCATACCAATGGTGCTGCCCAACGCAAAGCCAACCAACACGAATTGCCAGCAGCTGGCAGAAAAAAACCGCCGCGGAAGGCGTGCGAAAAAGTCTCACAGGTAGACCCGGAGGATTTGAAACCCTATCGAAGCAAAAGCCGGCAAGTGCCTCCTTCTGGGAGAAGTCCACGCGCCAGAGCTGCAGGGAAGCGGTGCCTTGACACGTGCCCCTCTTCGTGCCGCCCACATGAGCTAACAAGCTGCCAAGGAAATGCCTGGGTGGCAATGTTTCAGAATCCTCTCATGTAAGAACTGCACCGGAACCCTTTTGGGAAAGATTTTGGGCAGGGCACAAAACAACACACCGCAGAGCCTTTCAAACCCAGCCCTGGTTTTTCTTCCCAAAAGCGAAACCCAACAAGACTCTGAGTTCGATATGGACCCCTGCTTCCTGTTGGGAAATTTGGAGTTCCCCGGTGCCCCTCCTAGCTTGGCCCAAAACTAGGGTCCACAAAACCTAGAACACCGGGTGGCTCGAAAGCATCACATAGAGTGAGTGTTGATTTGAAGCATTTCTGTGCGCTGGCACTCTCTGCGCACTCTGCAAGTTCCCTGTGCAAATCTCCACGCAAACTTCTGCGCCCACCGGTGGTCTTCATAAGCATGAGGTCCCCCCCCCAATAGCATGCCCCTTTAAGTGTATGAGGTCTCATGTGTATACACCGCTGCAAATTGTCTGCTAACAAATTCACTTGGCAAAATTGCTGGGATCTGCAGAAAAAGGAGAATGCAAAACACAGAAATGGGCCACTCCTGCTCCAAGCAGTTTGGGGGCATCTGCGGGCTGCGCGCGACTTGTGCGGGACTTGCGCGAAAGCTTGTTAATCTTTGGGCCATGGTGATGATGATGATGATGATGATGATGATGATGATGATGGTGATGATGATGATGGTGATAATGATGATGATGATGATGATGATGATGATGATGATGATGATGATGATGATGATGATGATGATGATGATGATGATGATGATGATGATGATGATGATGATCATGATGAATCATCACTGCGTCACTTGCGCTTTACTTGCGCAGCCCCATGTTTGAATTGGCGGCCGCTCCTGCAACACACTCCTGCCCTTCAAATTACAAGCGGCGGTGCAGCTGATTTGACACGTCAAAAACAACTGTGACCATGCCTTACATTGACACATGCAACGGGTTTTATTTTTCGGCTCACTTGCTCTTTGCAAGTTTGTTTGCGCAAGTTCAAGTTTTCGCACGCATCGTTTTCAATGAAGGCAACTCGGTGCCAGCATCCTACTGCACATCGACCACGCCGTTGTGTGCAAAGGGATGCGCGGGAACAGCGAATAGTTGCAATAACCAAGATAATTGAGAAATGCAAAAAGTAGCCTCGAACCTCTCAATCTCAACCACGCTGATCTACGCAGAGGGTGTCGCAGAGTGGGTTTGGTCGGACCACGCCGCCTTAAAAGACTGCGCTGAACTTCAAGTCCACATTTCTCGTGCCAGATGCCTCACGCGAGCTATCTCGCGCACTTGCTGCCCGCGTTCGCTCGGCTCTCCTGCTTATTGCTCTCTTGCTCTGCGTGTGCGCTCGGCATGTGCTCCAGTGCATCTTGCTCTGCACACAGCATGTGCTATGGCCGGGTTTCTTGGGGGTCCCTTCAACCCTTCTCAAAAAACAGCACAGACCTGGGGTCCTTATCCAAAATCATGGTTTACTTGCTATAGCCTGAAGATGGGCCAGAATCAGATCATTTTCACGAAAGCATTTCGAAGGGTGCTTCCAGTAAAATCGCTAGCCTTATCGCGCAGCATGCAAAGCAAGATGGCACGAGAGCACAAACAGAGGCAGAGACACGGGTCCAACACCATGAATTCATGATTTGATACCAAGCTGGGCCATGGGGCCATGGCATCAACCCAACTTCCGAACTTCTGGGCCCTCTATGAAGTCTCTGCCTGGAACGGGCCCCTCCGCCGCCAAGGACGGGTGCGTGCGGCTGAGGACCCCGAGGGCCAGCACTGGGTCGTTGGGGGCCCAGGCCTGCAGGACAAATTTGCAGCCGGATTCATGAGGCAGGGTTCGTCAGAATGCGTTCAAACCACGCGGAATGTGCTGCCCTTGGACGTGGCGTGGTGTTTCAAACAAGGTTTTGAGATAATTTGAGAACCTTTCCTTGGGGGGTTCGTCACATGGTCTCCGAGAACCGTTCCGGGGTAGGCCCATGTCTCTCCCGAGATGTGGTTTCTGGGCCAAAAAGAAGGTTCTGAGGGATTCGCCTCCTCCGGCCTTGCTAGTACCGGATGTAGTTCATGCTGACTCAAAGAAAAGCACCCCCACGAGAATTAAGGAACCTCGGAATCTCCAAGAAGCCTTCATCACGGGTGAGCACCGCGTTGCAACCAGAGCTTGCTAAATGATTAATGACGATACTCAGTGCAGACCCTTGCACCGGGCCTCACAACAGCTGGAATCCTAGTGATTCTAGTCAAAAAGGGTCAAGAGCCAAAGAAATGAATAGCCTAAGGGCAGAAAATAATTACACATTCTTCTGCTGTGGTCAGAACTTAAGCTTTGTTTTCGAGTACCTGACAACCATATCCCAAACATCCCTTCTACTCCCCCTGATTGAAGTTCACGAACAAAAATGCGAGCAAGTGGGGCTGGTGCAGCTGCACGGATTTCTGCTTTCCAACCTGAAGATGGCCCTGGGAGTAGTTGCATATCCAACGTGAGCCATCTTAGCTGCTTGCAGCCACTTCTCCTCACGGCTCTCTTCCCAGTGTAGATAGAAAGTCGAGCGACACACTCCCATGGCATTGCAAAGTTAAATGTTTGCTTCAGCTACACGACTTGGTCCAGTGTCATGGGCCTGCCTAGGATCAAATTGCATGAGGGCAGGGTCCAGGGTTGGACCAGCCCCACGACTCATGCCCCCTGCCGAACGATTTGGCATCCCTCAAATGACACCTCAGTGTCCACGTTCTGTCTTGTGACGACTGACGGGGTGCGGCAGCGCCCGCCGTTTCCTTTCAAAGTCCAGGGTTCCTCATATGCTTCCTGAAGCATCACAAGGGGAAACTCATCTTAAGATGGGCAGATGTTCTTCAACATCAGGAGCCTCACAACGGCCTCCATGAAGGATGCTAGCTGCTTCTTAGGCGACGGTTTCCTTGCATCCGAGGTACCGCATGAGAGACGCAGCAGCCTGCGTTCAGCGCTGCCAGCCTGAGGCACTCGGACGGCCTTTTGGCGCCCCACAAGTCCATGCAACCATCAACGTGTTGACATCATTGCCCCGTTTGCTGATTTTTGCTTGGTGCTTGGTGCTTGTTCCCCAATAACCCGCAACCCGACATCAATGCAAGCAAGCCACTGCCATCTAGGAGGTTTAAGGATAAATCTTGAACCTGTTCAAGGGTCCATTTGCCGCAGTCCTTTCACTTCCCGGGACCCATACCGATCCCGGAAAAACGCGGAACGTGGAAGGGGTCCCCACAAAAAAATGGGCTGTTGGGGTTCGATGCCAACCAGTGGAGTAATACTTGAGACCCCACATTGCCATGGCACCCAACCCGAAAATGGCCACAAGAAGTTGATATTCCTGGCATCCCATACATGAATTTGCGGGGAGGGCAATCAACACACCATACCCCCATTTGCAAAACAAGTTTATCTTTTGTCGGTTTTACCTTGGTTTCCCAAAAAGTTAAGTTCTGAGGATCCAACCCAGTAGCAATCAAGATGCTCTTGACCCATTTCAGGTAACCTCTAATTTTGGATTGGTTTGGGGATTTGCATCCCTGGTTCTTGTTGGTCAATAGGAAACCCCTCCAATGCACCCCACCAAACCACCGGGCTCCAAACCACCCAAGCCCCAAGCCCCAACCCCCAAACCCATAACCCCCAACCCCAAATCCCCCAAACAAAGCGGGAAGCTGACCATTGGGGTTGAAGGGAAACCCTGGGTGTCAACCAAGCAAGTTGAAGTCTACAAATCCAACCCCAATAGCCATCAAGGTAGATCAAGCTACCCTTGACCCATTGGGAGGCAAAACTTATATATGTGCATATGTGAAAGAAAAAAAAACTTCGCCCGGCGACATTCCACCATCCACCTTGGCCGCAGCCGAGGCCGCGCCCAGCGGGAGCTCCATCTTGTGAGTGCCCAACTTCCTCGCACAATCGACGCCTTTCGCGACAAAAGGTGGGTTTCCGTTTGGGTTTAAAGGAAAACCAAAGGGAAGACAACCATTTTGGGGGTCCCCCTGTTTTGACACATGGGTTCTTCCCAACCAAAAAGGAAACCAACCGCCTGCAGTAGAGGGCCCCCTAACCCCTGCTAAAAGTGACTAACTTTTAGTGGTTTAATACGGAAAACCCATTAGTTGGCGAAAAGTTAAAGTCCTAGCATCCAAGCAAAATGCAACAAAGGAATGAGAAATGGAACGACCCCTTTAAACCATCCCTTGTGGTTTCCTTTAAGGGGACCAATCCCTGGGTTCATTCTCATATTCCCCACTTATCGCACCAAGAACAGGTACCTGGTTGAGCCAAGGGCGAATTTGTGGACAAAGCAAAGGTGCGGAGAGGTGTTGGTTCTGTTTGAGTTCCGATGGCGACTTCTCGGAGC